AAGCGACATGGCATCCCCAAATATTGGTTGGGAAGTTTTCATGCGTCCACCGTATGTATGCAAGGTCCGGACAGAGTCCAGAGTTTTTTAACATGATTGCTGGCTATTAAGGCTCAACGCCACGGTGCATTAACACACATATTAGTATAATACGCCAAATTTCCCTATTGGAAATTCCGTTAAAATTTCAAGTAATTTCCCTAGTACCAATTGCAGCTATATTTTTGGATATAGTTCTCTCTTTAGGAGAAAGGACTATCTATGATCTCTGGTGTTCTTTGGTGTTCTTTGGGGCACAGCACACGGTTGGAAAATGCAACAACACATTGATTGAAGGTAAATGAATACAGTCATTTTACCCACGTAAATTGGATTTTAACCACAGCCAATATATGTAGGTTGGTACAGGCATACATTGGCCAGATTTTGCATTGTTTAACTACCATTTCTGTTAGTCTCTGCAAAACTCTCTTAATAGTAAAAAATTGACAAAATGAAGAGTTGCTGAAAATCACTTGATCGAGTATTTCGTCGATAAACTACAAAAGTTATTTTTCATATATATGGCATTTTGCAACTTCATGTTTTTTTAAAAATGTGGGATAATATATATGGTACATTTTTCAGACACATCAAGAACTCGTATTTATAAATACTGTCAAACTTCCATAACTCGAACATCTATAACTCGAACAAAAAACAATGCATCAAGGTTTTAGAGAGCAAATTACATACAAATCTGCTTCCATAACTCGAACTTCTATAACCGATAGAAATATGGGAAAGTGCATTCTATAAGTCGGATTTTTGTTTTGAGTATAAATGCACTTTGCTGTTATGGGAAATCCCTTTTTCCAAACCAAATGTTTGATTTTTTCTTTCTTAAGTTGCTTCTTTGTGCAAATGCCAGTCGCTGGCAGAGTGGTTTAAAGTAAATAAAATAACTTCCAATGTTTCTCTAAACGATTATATTGAGCTTGGCAATGAAATTTGTACATCAAGCTTTCCTGCAGATGACGACATTATTGAGCATTATAGCTCCGAATTAGTGGATTCGATTCTAAGCGGAACAGAAAGTAATGATCAGGGTTCGGTGGATGAAACTGTTTATTATTCTTCTAAGAATGAAGTCATTCAGAAATTCAGAATTAATTTTGATTTATAAACGAATGATGATCATTATATGCTGTATTTGATTTTAAATAAATAAATAAATATCTTACAATATAATTCTAGTTTCTTTCAAAAATAAAACAGAAATAAAAAATTCTCTAACTTGAAGTCTTCATAAGTCGAACCTTTTCTTTACAAAATTGGACTTCGAGTTATAGCAGTTTGACTGTACTTCTATAAATAACGAATAAGATCAATCCTGTTCGTTTACTTTATAGAGCATTTATAAGATGTAGATGCGTTATTAAGAAGTTTATCAGTGAAATTTTATTCTTTTATTTAAAACTAGAAGACAAATCTATGCTTAAATTGGGAAACAAATATTGCTAGATGAGTTTGTTCTCGTCAAAGTGTTGGAGAATATATATACTTTATAGTTTCTAATATCTCCGTTATAAACTTTATGGCAAATTAAAACTAGAAAAAAAATTGGTTTGTATAGCTTTATTTCAAAGTGATTCAAAGCGATTATAATACTGATTTATACCTATTTGATTAAGAGAATTACATTAAATATATCTATATCTTTCATCCACACACGGTACACTATATAAAAAAGTATTTCATAACATTATAACAAAAACATTATCGGAATTTGCTTAAAACATGCATTTTTATACAAAAACCATACTACATATAAACCATTTTATTCTGTACACAAACCCATTTATTGTGCATACAAACCATTTGGATGTTTTAAGTACAGTATATTAATGTATACTTTTCAGGTTCCACATAAAATATAGTCAGCCTTTGAAAAAGGCAGCCTTTGAATTAATCTTAACCATTTCTTTTTTTTATGTTATATCTATAATTTAACAAAATTCACGCTATGAGAGTTCCAAAATGCACTTTGGCTGAAGAATATGCTTATGATCACTTCCATCATTTAATTATTTTTAAAAAGACCACTTTATTTCCACCTAATGGATTTATTAATATTTCACAACAAACATGACGTTGGTAATCATATTGTATTCGCAGCTAACTTCACATCAAGCAATTCTTTTTGTTTTGACAGCCGAATAATATTTTATCGATTTGTAAATTGTTGAACAGTTCGGAGGTTTAATTTTGAAGTGCTGTTTGCTGTTCGTGAAAAATTAGTGTAAACAATTGTTAGCAGTGCTAAATATTTATAAATACAATAAAATTTAATTATTCCGCATTTGTAAGTAAAGTATTTTCAATTATATATGTTTCTTATAAAATATAGAAAATTGCGCCAAGCTTAAATTCCAACACATACATATGATTCAACAAAATTGCTGCTTTATATAAATAAAAAACGATATTAAAAAAAATTAATAAGTTTATTGATTTCAATGAAATGCTGCTATTTTAACAATTTTAATAATAACTAAATACATTGTTAATATTTATATTTTGTTAAATGAATTTATCTTTGCGTTTACCTCATGGGAATTTCCTGAATATGTGTTCATTCTAACGGTGGTTTGATGGCATTTGTTGGAATTTTTTTTTGGCACAGAGTTGTATTTTGAACCTAAGCATTATTGTTATATTTGATTGCAATAAAAAGTTTGATCAAATTGTATGGTTTATAATGGATGAACAACCAGTCTGTGGCTATATAATTGTAAAACCTTTTTTTGGTGCTCTTATAAAATATATAAAAATTTCATATAAATATATTTTTTTTATATGTTTTATATATTATATGTAAATATTGTTTATGTTTATGTTTTATTTATATATATTTATTACTGTGTGTATATTTATTATATTTATTATATTTTTACATACAGTAACTTTATGTATGGTATGAATATTAATTAATGTAATATACTAATATATAACAATGTAATTATCATACCTATGTATTAAAGATTATTTTTAAATATATATTAATGTACTTTTTTAGTTATATAATTGGAGTTTATTATTTAAAGGCTTTTATTAAGATTTTATTTAAAAAAGCTTTTAGTTTCCATGTGTCTATTTATTTATATAGTACTTTACTATATTGAAATAATTTTAAGGGGAGTAAATTATAGTTTTTTTTTTACTAAATAAAAGCTTTGAAACGTTTCCAGTTTTTATATGGAAATACCCATTCCACATTTAACGATTAATTTTAGTGCATTAATTTTTGATGCCTGCTGTCTTTGATAAATTCTGCAAATAGAGTTTATTCTTATATATAAACTCTGTTTGGTTGTGTGTATGTGTGTAGAAAAGCAAAAAAAGATGTTGATAACTTATTTAACATTTATATCGGTAATTACAAGAAATCGCTAAATACATATAGATTTCTTACTTGTAGTATTTATTGTTTTGTTGTGAAATTAAAATTAAAATACCCGTGTGAATGTAAAATATTAAGTATTAAATAATTATAAGAAAAATATTGTGTTTTTATTGGTTTTATCACCTTTTCAGCAGCATTAAATCATTAAAGTAAGATTTAAATCTACTAAATGTAGAAAACAATGCGAAAACTGTTATAAAAACTAATTTCAATCCTAATTTTACTCAAGTGTGACATGGGCTAAAAAATATAAGAAGTAAATATACATACTATTGGTGTTTTGAATTGGTAAATTTGTTTCTTTTTTCCAAATGGTTTTAAGTTGAAAAATTGATATTTTTCTAAAGGTTTGTTGTCAGATGAATACATTTACAGCCAAATGTGCTATTATTTTGATTTTATTCCTTTTTTCAATAATTAAATTAATTAAACAATTTAAGCACATGCGGAGGCAAATCACACATTATATCTGTGAAATCATATAAAATAGCTGTTAATTTCAAGGTAATTTAGTTATGGTGGCAAAATATCAAGAATATTATAAACTAATTTCTAGTGTTATACATTTTGTCTCAGATTTAGCAATCAAAAATGAAATTTGTACTAAAGTGAATCTTGATGAAAAAATTCTTCCAGATTTAACAATCGAAAACGCCATATAAGATATAAAAATTGTTTTTTATTAAAAAAGTTCACATAAGCCTTACAACAATGAATACTTTATTAACAGAAAAGGAATTCGAACACTTAAGTAGTGTTCTATATATATTTTATTTCTATTACGTCATGCGTTTTATACTGTTTTTTATGTATATATAAAATATACATGTTTTATTACTAGTGGGCTTAGGTCGTTAATTTAACATATAAAAATTAAAAATATTTTTTTAAATAAAATATTAAAATTGTCTTTTAAATTTATGTTAAATATTTAATTGTTATTTTTATTTTAATTTTTATAAAAATTATAATTAATTTATTAAATATTTAACACAAATTTATAAGTGTAATTTTATATATAATATATATTATTATATATTATATAAAATATATAATTATATAGAAAATATATAATATTATATAAATATATTATATATTATATTATATAATATTATATATGCGAATATAATATTATATAAAATATGTAATATATATAAATATATAAGATATTTTTATATAATTTATTCTTCTACGAATTCAATTTATTTTGCTTTCTATATATTTTCATATAACATATTTTTTTAAATATTTTTAAATAAATTATTTTCATATAAATTATTTTCATATAAATTATTTTGATATAAAATATTATTTAAAATATTTATAATAATATTTCTTACTTATAAATATTTATGTACCACTTAACTAAAATCCAAATATTTTTTTAACACATTTTACATCCACGTGTAACTTGCACATATTGCTGTTAAATATTCTATGTGAAATGAACATTTAATTCATTTTTAGGCGGCTTCTATCAGGCAGGCGGCTTCTATCACAGAATTTTTGTTTTACTTTATTTTCGTTCATTTCATCGGCTAAAAAATTCATTTAAATTGTGTAGTTTGAATAGTGAGGAGCTGCAGTGAGTGAAAATATTTAAAAATTTATTAAAAAGAAAAGTAAGCATTGGAAAATAAATTTCAAGTTATTTGTGTATTAAATGTTGTGTAAAATTTAAGATTGAATTGTATTGAAAATTTGAACGTTAACGAAAAAGTATTTTTGTTGTAGATAAGATATCTTTTCAAGAATTTGTGAAAGGATTAACGCATAGGAAAAAACATCGGTGAGTTTTTTTTTATGTGAAAAAATTACATGTGTGTATATGGAGGTGTGCAAATTTAGGGCGGCAAGCAGAGATAGCACCCGGAAGACGTTTTTATTGTATTCTCTAGGATAAATAATTAATTTGCTACTTAATTTGTTAATTTCACAAAAAAGTGCAAAAAATTAATTTTTGCCTAAATGGCATAGTAATTTGTCATATTTGTTGCCACATTTTTTTTCTCTTCTTCTTTCTTGGAAAATTGCATCCAACAGCAACAAAGCGACATACATGGCCGCGCTTAAGTTATTTGCGAAATGAGTTCTTGCGGGTATTTCTGAAGAGTTTCTATGGAGTAAGAACGCCTACAAAAATACATACAAAAATAGTTAATAATATTTATTAATAACTAATAGTAATCTTAAATCTTGTTTCGGTCAAAAAAAAAACCTGTCATTTCACATTCCACTTATTTAGGCATGCAAATTTTGTTTTTTTTTTTTTGTTGGCATTTAAAAATTTTTTGACTGACGTAATTTTTGATCTCTTCTCAGATCAATCAATGGACATTTTAGAAGTATTTTTAAAGAAAAAAAATTCCTTCAATTTTAGTTAGCTTTTTATTTTTCAATATTACGTGGGAAAATTCCTGTAATTTGGTTGGAAGTCACACATAAATTAATGTGCATTTCACAGTTGACTTCCCTTCATCAGTGAATTCAGTGGCAAATTGCCTGCAGATTGCAAACTGTTGACTGCTTCTGCAGCATGCGACCTTGTCTGTGTAGCTTGCCACTTTCACACGGGCATATTTTTATAATTTTTTTTTTGGCCTTTTTCATTGTTGTTAAAAATTAAAATAATTAAAAATATATATGTTAATACATATTTCACAACATTCATGTTATGTTTTAATATAGATGACATGCTATAACAAATATATAATATAATAAAATTATAACTAATGTATATATATATATTATTATTATTATATATATATAAACTGTCATTCACATATTTAGCATTTCAGGCAATTTATATAAATATTTATATAAATATCAAAAAATAATTAAAATAATATAATTAATAATAATTTTAATAACTAAAAATTAATAGGTCTGTGCGAGTGCTAGTTCGTTGTAGTTAGGCTAAGTGCGGTTCAATGGGGATTCTAAGTTTGTCGATAATGTATGATTGTCGATCGTGTGATAATGGCTAAATGCGTGCAGTGCAAAAAATCCTAAAAAATCTCCCATTTGGTTTAGCATCAACTTAGCCTAACTCGCACACGTCCTAAGTTGCGTTCTAAATGAGGGAAATTCTAAGTTGTGTCGATAATGTATTGATGTGTCGATACGTGTTGATAAATGGCAAAATGCGTGCAGTGCAAAAAATCCTAAAAAATCTCCCATTTGGTTTAGCATCAACTTAGCCTAACTCGCACACGTCCATAATAATAATATATAAATAGATTATTTTTTTGCTTATTGTACACTAAAGATGATCTCAAAATAGACCGAAATATGTGTAATATAAATATTTTGATAAAAATTAAAATATTAATTATTTTGTGATCAATTAAAAAAAATTTAAACATTTAGCCTACAAAAACACTATTTTATAAAAAGTACTTTATTTTATAATAACTAAAACATACTTAAAATATTTAAAATAAATTAATAAGTGATATTTTTTTTATAAATTTATGTGTTAAATAAACGACCTGAGCCTTATGAAAATCAAAAAACTTGTAAACAGTTCGAAATAACAATTGATTAATTAAAATAATAATATAACATAACAATTGTATAATTTAATATCATACTAATATAATAAATTATTAATATAATATAATAGTGTAATATAACAATAATATAATATAATAATAGTATAATAAAGAGTTTTTTTTCGAACAGAAGTGAACTACAACAACAAAAATTTATTTTTTTATATTTTAATTAATTGAATTTTTGGCTGACCATACAGCTGTTTCGAGTATTGCCAAATACCCATCATAATAATATAATACAACAAAAATAGACCTCCGTCTAACATCTCCCAGAAAAAACGACTTCTCCTCCGTGCAGCAAAAACTATCTTAGATCAATTGAAATCAGAATATAGCCGAGTGTTAAACAGTTACTTGTCATGCATAAACACGTCTATTCCTAATGGTCTACAGCTCTACCGCCCCATGAATTTGCCTATCTATTCTCCTGTCCCCGTCCAATCGACCTTTGTACCCACTCTCTTGAAGTGGTCAGGTTTCTCCGTCTGGAACGGAGTTAAAATTCAATTTAAATCTCACCCATCCAATTCACCCCTTATTCTAATTCCTCTTCCCCCACTCTCAACTCATCCACTTCACCAAAATTTTATTATTTTTAATTAATTGGATTTTTAGCTGACCATAAAGTTGTTTTGAATATTGTTAACCACTCATCATCAGTGATCTTTTTGAAATTATTAATTATATTCAATTCTTCGTAAATCATTTTTTGAGACTCCAAGTACCAAGGTTTATAATATTTTATCGGATCAAATTTATGCAAGTTGCATAAATTTGATTAAATTTGAGCTAATTATGCAAGTTGCTTGCGAAATTAGAAAAATAATTTTATTAACAAACAATTAATAAGTTGGGTAAATTAACAGTTGGTATAAGTACTTATATGATATGTCATGAAGAAAGTGAAACAATATGATTCTATATTCTATATAAGCATAGCTATAGTTAGGTAATTCTTCGTAGACTTTTTTTTTACTTTGTCAATCTTGAATTACGAACACAAAAATCTCAGGGACTAATTTTTATATTTTGAACCAATTATGCGCTGTAATATTCATCAGAGTTCCTCTTCCTCAATTATCTCTCGAGTGTAGACATTATAAAAGATATTTCGAATTTTATTAAAGTAAGACGATGGTAAAATAAATCAACTTTTTTCTATATTCTAAATGCTGATATTGCTTACTGCTATTTAGTATGTATAACATATGTAACTTTTACATTAATTATACAAACGACAAGTAAAAAAGAGTACACACGTTTTAAAGCCTCATATTTATAAAATGATCTATATTCAAATATTTATAATAATAATTAATTGCTATATACTATGTTTATTAAAAAATCTGATCAGGTGTAATCTTGATTTCAATATATTAATTCACATCTCTAAAAGGTTTCAATTAAATATGTAATATAATAAATTAATAAACTAATATTTTATAAACAAATCAAAATTATATTAACTTGAGTGCTACTCATATAAACCTACGGACGCCTACAACAAACACCTAACGCCTACCTATATCTGCCTACTACATTCAACGCAACACTAAAATAAAAATCTCCCCATTCTTCTCTTATTATTTTGACCCGCTGGCTTTCACTTTCATTGAATATTTCATTCACCGTGAGTCATTTTAAAAATACTATAGTTCGTTCATTCATCTTTAAAAAAAAAACATAAATAAATAAAAAATTAAATAACACAATTGAGTTTGTCAAATTGCACTTTGATGGGTATTTGTTGTTTTGTTTATTAAACAACAGTAGCAAAAATAAAAATAAAAATAAAAAAAAATTGCATAATAACACCGGCAAATTTATTATAAAATCTTTTGAAATATTTGAACCTCTTCAAACGACCGCTTCTACTCTACTTGAAGCGTCGAGTGCCTAATGTCTCCAGTATTAATGGAAACACTCTGCGTATTACAACACAAGCGAACTAGTGTCGTTTTTTATTAATTTGTGTGGGTAGACCGCATTTTAAATTATTGATAACGCCGAGAACTGCTTAATAATAGTTTGGTTGATAAAAATTGAATTGTTTACGTATAAGTCGTTAACCCAGTCACAGATGTTGATTATCGGTCGGTCAAGTCTGTTCTGTTTGCTCAACTGAACTATAACGAACGAATTAAATTATTTGAAAGATATTTCAATTACCTTAACAACAATACTACGATATAAATAATTGCTAATAGATTTGCTTTAATTTTCTTTCTTTTTCATACATAATAAAGTAATAAAATTATATAAATATCGTTAAGTGTAGATATTTCATATCGAACCTGTTTACCCTAAAGTAGGGTGAGTAAAAGTATTTTTTAATAAAAATGCGGGAAAATGTTTAACACGCAATTTAGAAAGACTTATTGGCACGTTCCATTGTTTTGTTTTGGTTTTTTTCTGTTCTTACTATTGTCAATGAAAATGTTATCTCTAATAGAAAGTCATGTTATAAAAGGGGTAGGTTTTAAAAAGTCATAAAACATGAATTCAATTAGTAAATAAAAAAAGACCTATTCAATTTTTAATTAGCACCAATAAAATCAAATAAAATTAAATTCAAATTCTTACACAGGTTTTATTGTTATATTTTTTAATGCAGTTATCCGGCACTATTTTTGTTGAATCTCTTGTATATTTCTTTAAATTGTATTTCATTGAAATTTATCTGCAAAATCAATCTTTTCATAAATAATGCTATTGACTTTATAGCTTTGTAATTTTAAAATATTTGGGGAACGTATAATTTTCTCGTCTTTATCCTTATTTCGTTGCATTTGGTCTGTGTTTAATAATATGAAATCTACTATTCAATCTAGAGGTGGAGAACTATCGATGACACCATCGATGGCAGTGCTAGACTATCGATAGTCTACGATAGTTAGTCATATCAACGCTTCACAAAAAAGCTCACTTTTGGCATCTGTGGTTTGTCACAGCGTAAAGCGAATTTTATATTCTAATTCTAAAAACATCACGGAGATAAACATTTCCAGATTAAATTACTATTAAATAGTAATATGTACCCGCTACTTCAGTCAAGTCCGAGCGCGTATTTAGTAAAGCTGGACAAGTAGTTTCAGAACGACGGACTCGACTGAAAGAAAAAAACGTTAATATGATGTTATTTTTAAACAAAAATTTTTGGTTACTACAATAGCAACAATACCGAAAAAAGGAAATGAAATTTATGATTTTTATTTTATTTTATTTATGTAAAATATTATCTCCAAAAAATTTAATGAAATTCGTCATATTAATTAAATTTTAGTTGAAATTTTAAATAAAAACATGGTTTTTTGAATGAATAGACATTTCTATTGAAATTAACATACTATCGATAGTAATCGATGGTTTGGAAAAAAACCATCACTCACTATCGATGGTGCCGACTATCAATAGTTCTTCACCTCTAATTCAATCTATATTATTGTTGCAGCATTGTTGTCTCGTATCAGTTTACTAGATTTGCTCCAACTTAGACTTCGATGTAAGCCTAGGTTTTCTTATTTTCTAATAGGAAAGACTGGGCTCTAGATAGAGTAGTTTCTGTTAACACGGTTAATATTAATATATATATTATTATATTTGTATAATTTAATAATATTATTAAAACTTATATTAATATTTATATTAATAGCTTTGTAGTTTCATCTCAATTGACTACATTAGTTTTGGCTCAGACCTCGATTTGAGTTACGGTTTTCCTATTGGAGGTCAGGCTCTATACTCCAGAAGGAGTTCAGGAAATCAGTAGTAATGGTAAGCATAGTAGAGAAGATTAGACTATGAGTAAAATAATTTTTGTTAACATTGTAAATATTAACATTGACGGTTAAAAAATAAATGAAGGAGTGGCAGTGTCATGTTTTCTTATAAATTTAGTTTTAGCAATTTACTCCGACTACTAAACCATTGCAGTGTCTTACGGGTAGAAACAATGTTGATTATCTAAGCAGCAAAATAGGTTAACTCTTGATCTAAATATCGTAATCTTATTGGACATCTTATTGAAAATATAGTTTAAAAAAATCTAAGTAGTTGAAAAATTATTGTCAGATCTCAAGATCTTCGATGTACATTACTATCCTGATAGTGTTAATGTATCACTGGTAGTGACTATTTATCACAGACTCTACTGCCCTTACCAATACAGGTTGGCTACTTGAAGGGTATTGGTTAAAATTTAAATATATACGGGTGGAATGATTGTATTCATTCAGTTTAGTTGAATATAGATTGCATTCTTCCACTATGTGCTACGATCGATTTCTGTAAACAGAAATGTTAGATAGATAGGCTTTGCTTCCCACCATGAAGGGAAACTAAATCCAAATGTATAGGATAAATTGGTACCGACAAAACTCCTTAGACTTGCAATGTGGCATTTTTCGGTGTATTATCTTGAGACGAGTGTTAAGAACGTCGTGGTGTTAAGCCTTCAAGGCAGGTAATCACGTTAAATAACTAAACTTCTGGTCCAAATTGGACAATAAACTTATCAGTCAGCTAATTGAACTAAAGTGCTTAAATGCTTAAATACTTTGTTGTTATTTGTGTGCGTGCCAAGTGTCTAATTATATTTAGTAATATTTTTTTAACATTTTTTTAAGTGGTGGATTATTGCTTACTTAATTAATGTTAATGCATATAATCTTAGATAATTGTCTTAATTTCTAGATATATCGAATCTTCTAGTTTAAAAAGTTATTAAATTATTTCAGTTTGGTAACTAACTTCAAACTATTCATATTTTGTTTGCTTTCTAGGTATATACTGAATTCTAATCGGGTTGCTAACTAACTTTTTAAAATATTTTGGAAACTGGATTGTGTGTACTAGATTCCTGTATATGATTTGTTTAATTTGTATGATTTTATTCAATTTTTAAATTGTGCAGTTCATATTAGTATGAATTTAAGTATTCTAAAAGACATCTACCAACTGTTATACTTTCAAGTGCTATAAAATAGATATATCTTGGAATAGTCACTGAATCAATAGTTCTTTATTGTTTCTTATTTTACTTGCTTTTAATAGTATCTATTAGTAGGTTTTCACTACTGTTTGGTCTTTGATATTCTAAGTGATATGTTTGTAGCTTTTAATAGTAATCTCCCCTCATTAATTTTACTATTTCATTAAAGCTAATGTAATTCTACTTATATCTTTTTTGTCTTATTACCTGTAATTTGGAAATCAGTCAAGAGTTTTAATTTTGCAAAATGTTTCGTTTTTAAGTTTAAAATTTGACGACAAACACAGAAAATGTCATTCATTAAACGGTGTATCTTCTCCATTTACATAATTAATCCGTCTTTCGTTTGCAATTTAAATTTAAACTCTTGACATTTTCAAACATTTTATGTTAATTTAAATGCAATACCTCTAATCCCCGTGGTACTTTAAATTCGTTTAAGGGTTAAAAGCTTTTTTGTGATTTTCTGAAAGGAGTAACTTACACAACAGTAACCAAAATTTCCTATTTAACTTTTATATTCTACTTAATTCTATTCAATTCTATTTAATGTCTAAAAATATACATATTATTGATTTTTAAATTTATAAAATTAAATTAGTTAAAATTAAATATTAATGGTTTTATAAAAATTCACCAAATTCACCTAGCAATTAGCACAATTAGTAATTAATTAATTAATTAAGTAATTAGTTCTTAATGAATTAAGGTTTTAAGTTTTATTGTAGAAATTCGTAGACATTATTTAAAAATCAGATAACAGCAAACTAAAGCTGATTACTAAAAAAAAAAACCTGAGAGCAATAAGAAAATTATAGAATCGTTGGATACGTACAGCAGCAGAAGATGCAAGAATGTTATTATTATTAGTGTCTTGTTAATTTATAAACAAATATACAATAATAGAATTAGTAAAGATTATTATCTTAGTTATAGTATAGTTTAAGTTCGTCTGCTCAATAATTATAAACACTTAAAATTACGATATCAAGTGTCCTTAATCCTCAAAAAGATTTTACTACCATATTAGTTGATAATGATAAAATCTATATATAACTCATAAATTATATAGAATTTTTAAATTGTACTAAATCAATTTAAGTTAGATTCATCAGTTAATGCACGGATTTGTTATATTATTATTTTTTGATTTAATTTTACATTAAATTTTAATTCTTTATAATATACCTAGATGTCTGTCTCACTCCATAAACATGCTCAAAATATTATGTTCCTATTTTATTACACAGGATTGTTGAAAAACACATTATGGATTATTTAAATAATTTCTTCTTACCCAAAATGTTGTTTTTCACTTTCTTAATTTAAAATAAATTAAATGATAAAATGGGGCTAACCTCTTCCTTACTCAAGTCAACAGAATCGCGTGCTATTACCCCACAAATGCCAATTTTAGCTACAGAATATTTTTTTCTTTTTTTTTTTTTCGTAATAAATAAGAAATTTGGTGGAAAACATTTTTACCATTGATTTTCTCTACAGCAGGGTTTTCTTTTCCAAAAAATTGTTAAAATTCAATGTAATAGGAATTTAACTGCAAATAGAGTAGAACAGCGCAACCCCACAGGGAAAATATGCTTTCCCTCTATAGAATAAAAGGACCAAGTTAATAACATGATTTGAGTCCTTAATTGTGTTACAATAAATATTATTCATAAATTGGAAATAAATAAAATGTTATAATGATGAAATAAATTAATTTTTAATTAAAATTTCAAATGAAAGTAAAATTAATCAAGTTACCTGTTAATATTATCTATCGAAATTATTTAGATATTTTATTTTGAATTTTTCAAATATAGTTTTATATCTCAACAGTGAATTACAAATTTTGTTAATTTGTATTAAATTTGTAATTTGTTTTAATCAGAGATAAAGTTTATATTGTGGTATAAATTAATTCATTTTTATATTATTTTCAGTTTATTTACAGATTTACAATAATAAAGTTTTCTCTTGTATTCTGTAACTAAAAACAAAAAGCAAATATGTCTGACCGCAAAGCTGTTATTAAGAATGCTGATATGAGCGAGGAAATGCAACAGGATGCAGTTGATTGTGCGACACAGGCTTTGGAAAAATACAATATCGAAAAGGTAAGTGCCAAGTTTTATTTTGTTTTTCAAAAAATTTAAAAATGTGATCAGAATTCTAGTCCCTTACCTACCAATCCATCAATTTATTTCTGCTTCAATAAAGTTAGTACTAACATACTAAAAACTTACTGCCTGAAGCTATGTTTCTCAAAGTAGCATATATGACTCACATTGGGGCCATTTGACTGTTTAGGGAAGATGTAGCGAAGTCTCTGTCAATTCATAATGAAAATGTATTCATATTAGTTTCGGCTATAGTGGCAACGCAATGGGCTCATAGTTTCAAAATTCGCCAATTAGACCGACTAACCTAACCTATTTTTATAAAAAGCCATTAGATATATGCTTTTTAAAAGACGGATGCAGATTATGTGAACTTAAAATTATAAAAAGTAAACTAAGAAAAATATTAGGAAATACGGTTCTAAGGATCCCAATCAAGAGATGTTAAAAGTATCATATACTGTACAAAATACTGTTCAAAATGGTTTTCATACCTTGAAGTTCAATCATTAGCCCCTCTATTTCGTCATTTGACCATATTCTATATAAACCGCGCTCGTAGCGCTTTAATGTTTTAATTTGTCTATTTTCGAAAGCTAAATCTTTTATTGGTTTGTGAGAATTGATCGTATAAAAATTACATGTACATATTTTAGATGTACACACCCAGGTGTCTTTAGTGTGGATCAAAGCGATATGCTTTAACAAAAAATTTTCATTAAGAATTATGATAGAAAATAATATTTAAGTGAGTTTCTGAAAATCTCACCTGAATATAGCAGATAAAACTTAAGATATATCAATTTGAAAAATGAAAAACATATCCGGGATTGCGAGTGTTGATATAAATGTTAAGACTTTATTAAACGTTTAGAACTCGCAGTCAATTTCACTTACTTTAAAATCCCTCAAGATAGTTTTAGTTCATAGTCGAGCGCAATGCAAAGATTTGTTGGAGAATACTGACACCGGACACCCAGACATCATTAGATATATCATCAAATAATAAATCCTTTAGGGCAGGCAGTGTTTCTTACTATTTTCAAAACACCTATGGTGATGAAGTTGACACGTGATGATTTTGGGTGGATATGCCAGTTCTCTGTGCTTGATTTAGTAGTTCAAATCTCAGCACACTGGGTTGTATGTCGGTGATACACTTAAGGTATGGGCTTCTAACTACGGTTATGGGCCTATGGTGGTGACGGAGTTCCAATCTGCTAAGGTCAATTAGTGACTGGAGCTTAAGATTGAACAAATGTACTGATAATTTAATTAGTTTAATAATTATTTAATTAGTTTAATAAAAAATTGCCGCTCTAAAATAAAGAAATTGAAAGTGGTGGCTGGCAAATGGATAAGTTATATTATTTATAATAATAATTCAATCTACATAATAGTTATTTAAATTAAATGAATTGTGATCATTTATATAAAAACTTGACAGTATGATACTCCTGAAGATGTTGGAATAAAACTCACGAAACATCGGGTTAAAAAAATGGAATAAATATTGAATTTATATTTGCATCCCATATATAAGACCAAAATAGCTTAAGTTAGAATTAAAATTAATAAAAAAATAACGCATTAGCAACAAAAACAAGTTGATTAACAAAGTTTTGGCTCGCAGTCCGAATTAGTAGAGAGAGATTTGTTGCAAAAGACTAAATCCAGATACCGGTTAGATGATGATACTGTTTACATTATAAAACTCTTAATCTTTTAGAACAAGCAGCTGTTTTCAGCTACTTTGATCTGACTAATTAAGCACGGTTTTTTTTTTAAAGGATTATTTTTGTAAAATTTTTGAAGACAACAAATATGAATTAGATTCCTGAAGCTTTGGCATGTAGTCGGGATTAGTGAAGATTTTAGTTGAATCTTTAGGAACAGTCAGACGTTTTCATCTACTAAAAGTTCACTATGGTAAATAATTATTTAGAGTATATCTTAAATCTTGGCTCGCTGTCGCGTTCAGTGAAGAGATTTCGTAAAAAATAGCTCAAAAACAGACACCGGTCGTAGTACTAATAATAATGATGATATTCACAAAATAACCAAATTAACTTTTGATATTTTTTGCGATTAATCAATAGTAAAATAATTGTAAATTTACTACCTTGAAGTAAATGTGCCTCCAGTTACTTTTAGTCTAACAATTGATAGAATGTGAAAAGTGAAACATCTCCATACACTTATATTATAATTACTCCTACCGAAAATTATTCGAATTATTGCATTAATAGGAAATGTCAGTTCCATATTACATCAAAATGATATTGTATTTTGCATAAAACCAACATTTTTGCATAATTAATGTTGGCAGTCTGAAACGTAGCGGTGTTGTGTTTATAATATACCATACGTAAAGCTCATTACACATATTCATCAACCGCCATAAAAGTGGTTTTCATAGAAAAGTATTTCAATCTATTTGAATATTAAATAACCTTCACGCTTAAATTATTTCAACTTTTAACCAGCAGCCAGTAGCAGATACGCAGCAAACACACTAACCAACTAACCCAGGCAACCAACCCAGCCAACCAACCCAACCAACCAACCAACTCATCCAACCAATCGACCAACAAACCACCCGCTCAAGTCTCATAGTTTAATGTTTTCCACTGATTGCATTTTGCGGACAATATATGAAAAAAGGATAAGAGTCCTGTTTTGTAGTTTGTTAGCGTTGAAGGATTGGAAGAGAAATGTTTGGTTGCCGAGCTGAGTTGAGCATATTTTCTGTATTTGTTTTTTTTTTACTTGTTTTTGCTTTTTTGTTCTACTGTGCGGTAGTTGAAAATGTCAAAAGTACATTTGCATATACTTTGCAAATATGGGTAAATAATCCTGCTCTGCTACTGAATGTGCATACAACCTACCTATCTTCACAGTGCTGTTCAGATACATAATAAACAAACATATGTTGCGCGCTCTCTTATTGTTGTTATTGTTGTTGTTTTTGTTGTTGCTGTTGTTGCACATAAAATGTAGGTTAAAGTTGAGTGTATGTACTTTGAACTTTTCCACTTGAGCTGCATGCCACCGTGCCACTTCAACGACATTGTGCGAAAAGTGCGTGCGGGGTAACCTAACCGTCGAATACTTCACCGCCACAATAATTCACATATTCACACGAATTCGTGAACGTATCTAGATACAGCAATTCTGTTAATTCTGATAATTCAGGTAAACATTAAACTCAAACTACTATATTTTATAAAATGTAAATAAAATAATTTAAATTTTAAAGTATAAATACACCAACCAACCAACTTTTATCTTGAATTAGTTGAGTTTTTTATGGGATTGGCATCGTCTTTATCCTTTTTAAGATAAAGCTAGCTCTCTTACGCTTAAGATAAATGTTAGATGGCAAATGTTTACTTTGATTAAGAGCCCTACAAATATGGCTAACAAGAGTAGCAAGTGTTGTTGGTATAGTTATACTTTTGACGTAATTTATTGCACTTGATGTTTGCAGTGTCACAGTTCTTAACAATTTATAACACAATTTATAATCCAAGTACACCAACACTAACGTCATAATCATCATAGAAAAATAAATACTTTATTTAGTTAAAACGTTTATAATTTGTATCTTTTGTTGCGTTTCATTGCGGACTTTAGATCTTTTTTTGATATGTAATTATTTAATATTAGTTTTATTTATACTGCACACAATACTAATACTAATAATATCGATCAACTGACTATAATTAGAAACTTATTTTTTGTGGTAATAGATTTTACATATAGTAAGCAAATATACTGTATTTGCTTTTACGAATTAACAGGGTATTTTCAAAAGTATTAGAAAATAGTTAAAATTGATTTTTCACTATCTTTTGTTGTGAAGTTTTTGTCCTTTCTTATGAAAAATCTACTGAACAACAAAAAATTAAGTACTAAAAAATAGTTTAAATCGGTTTTATAATGTATTTTGTTCCGAAGTCACTGTTCTTCTCTACTTAAATCTACGATATCACTTGTCGTTTTCTTGCAATCGTCCTTTGAAGCACGCTACACACTGCTACTTTCTACAAAAATGCACACATTTATTGGTTAATAATCAATAATCAATGCTACGGGAGCCGCTTTATTTGTTTAGGCGGTAGTTTCAGCACTTAGGACCTTTGATGATGTTATTTTAGGTCCAAGGTATTGAAGTTCCTCCTATGACCTGATTTATAGGAGTATCGTATATTGCAAGTTTGCATTGAAGAAGTTGTCTCGACATTGTTAGTGACTTCGTTTTCGAGGTGGATACTTATTATATTTGTCTGCTACGTTTTCAAACGCGTATAAGAGTCTTTGAAGGTCTTTATTGTCTGAAAGTAATACGGCATCGTCTGCGTAAAAATTTTAGCTCCAAGTTAGTTAAATTCCATGACCTGCTTTTTAAGAGCATCGTACACTGCAAGTTTGCATCGAAGAGGCTGTCTCGAGATTGTTAGCGACTTCGTTTTCGATGTGGATATTTTCATATTACATTTGTCTGCTACGTTTTCAAACGCGTATAAGATTGAACAAAATAGGGCTTAAACTGTCGCCTTGTCAGATTCCAGAAGCAACGGGCGGCTGACTAGACTAGAACTGCATACTTAAGAAAAAAAAACATGTTAGTGAAAAAACGATATATATTTAGAATAGAAATTTTTGTTCTTTTTTAGATGCAAGAATATTTTATGCATCAAATTAAGGAATATAATTCATATATATTCTTTAAAATTTTCAAAAAGAAAAATCGATTATTACAACCCCTAAACCACTCTTTCAGATGCAATCATTTTTAAAGTATAGAGAGGTTGAAGTCAAATATATTCTTTCGAGTAGACTATTTGTAGACAACTTTTAAATATGAATATTTTATATACTTGTTCCTGATGATCAAAAAGTCATAATTAAATAAATCAAAAGATCAAATATATTGCTAAATTTTAAAGGGTAGAATTTTTTTCACATATGGAGGTACGATCGTATTATAACTG